TCTTAACATTTGTCTGCTGGTAAATGCTTCATCAGGTACTGGGCAGACCACAGCCCAGGAGATGGGCTGTCTGTAGAAGCAGGAGCCTGACCAGCTCCTGCAGCACTGGGAGCCCTCCCACAAGACTCACGGGCACGTGAGAGCAGAGCACAAACCAGTGCAGCAGCTGGCAAGGGCAGTGTCCCCATCACGAGCCTAAGATTCTCTCCAGCACACAGCACAGGGGGAAGCTCCTTTAAATTTGTAACACCTGAACGATCATCCTTTCATCCTGCCTGATCCCGACCTAGCAATTACCGGTTTGCCGTTCGATCTCCTCTGTCACGGGGAACACGTGCGCCTGAGCTCTTTGTCTGCAGGCACGCTTCGCTGCCAGGACTGCGTGCTGCTGCCTCCCCCAGACCCCGATCCCGCTCCACACACCCGTGCTCTGCTGCCGAGCGTGAAACCTTGTCAGCTGCTGCAGGTTCTGCAGAGGGCTGGTGGAGGTGAGGCTGATGGCTGAGAGAAGAGCTGTCACTGACGGCACGACCCTCTGTGTGCTGCCTCTGACCTCCCCACTGCCACCTCACAGGGTTCATATTCCAGGTTTGTAAATGGAAAACTAAACTCCCCCAACAAATAAACAGGTCTGTCCCTTCACTAGCTGCAGGATCTCTCAGTTTCATTCAGCACACACTGCACCTTGTAGCAGGGTGCACGTACACTTCCTACAAGGAGCAGCGAGACCTCCCCAGGATCACCCATAACCTACAGAGGTCGGCACACGCAGGAGCGAAGAGCCTGGGACAGGACGGGAGCCCTCCGGTGACCAGGAGGGACCGGCAGACACCTCTGTCCCTGAGCACTGCGGGATGATGGCTCTCAGAGCAGATCACGCTGCCGTGTGCATGCCTAAAGCGCAGCTTGGCGATGCCGAGCCTCATGGCAACCCCTCTGCAATTCACAGCGCGCACGATGCATTATTAATCTCTAAGGAAAACACAATAACTCTCCATAGTGCTTTTGGGCCTGTTGCCATAACAGCCTAAATCCCTGTGAGAATGTAACTCTGTGCATTAATTTGGGAGAGCTAATGAGGTTGCTCTCTCCAGCTCACACCCCGGAGCCCAGCCTTGCCCTCCCCATGCAGGGAGGGCTGAGCAGCCCCAGAGCTGCCCCGTGCCGCAGTACCGAGGTGCCAGGCGCTGTTACTGGGCTCATTTTTGGAAGGAGAAAGCGGGCGAGTGTTAACAGCCCTTGGCTTCGCTGGGCTTGCAGCAGCTCCAGGCAACAACAGAAAGCTGGCAGGAGAAGATGAGGGAAGTCACCGGCACACCAGAGAGCAGTGAAACAGGGTGCTGGGGACTGGCGCTGCGCAAGGTTCAAATTGCAGCGAGGGTGAGCTTAAAAGCCTGCCTGAAAGGGAATGAAAGCACTGGGAGCTCATCCAGGTCCTGAACTGCACGGGGAGAGGTCGTGTGCTGCCCATGCCACTTGCTCTCCTCTGCCAAACCCTCGTGCTAAGCCCGGGGGGATCCGGCACCCCCAGCGGCCCCGAGCACCCCGGTGCCTGCACCCTCGGCAGCCCTGGTGCTTCCCCCCGGCAGGGCACCCGCGCTGCTCCTCTCCTTGCAGAAACACCTTCCACAGCGTTTTGCATTGGCTCGGGGGGGAGACTCGGTGCGTACCGAGACCGTTCTGCAGACATTCGAGTGTTTTTAACTTCTGATGCTGGAGCAGATGGCATGGCAGCTATCTTGGAAGCCTGACAGAGATCTTTTTGATCAGCCTCCCTGCTGCAATGCATTTCTTTCTTCACATTTCTCCTGAAACATTTCTCCTCTTTTGCTTTCCTTGTAGCAAGTGAAGGGTTAATTACCTTTGTCTCAAGAAATATTTAGATGAAAACATGAAATATTTTGATCTTTTGTCACAAGTCCCCGGGAATCTGAAACAGCTGTGCTTGTGGAGCATGTGCAATATGCAAATAATTCCGAGCAATTCTTCACCAAAATAAAACCAGCAAACCAAACCAGCCAACCCCTGCTTATTTTTCATCTAGTTCTTTGCTGTTAGTAGAGATTTTTATGATGAAGTCAACTGACTGTACATCGTATGAGCCTGTCATTGTGGGTGTGAAATGACAGCTCAAGAAGGACTTCTAAAACAAGTCAATTGCAACCCAATTTCTAATGTTTGGCCGTTTTCTATTTTAACTTATTTGGAATTCCACGAAAATTAGCTGATTTCTAAGAGGCACTGCTTTTGGTGTGCATTGTAGCAGACAAGCTGGAAGCCAGAAGTTGCTATCCCCTCCTCACTGGAACTGCTTCCATTTTGTGCAGACAGACACCTTTCTTGGACTGAGCATAATTAAAAGCTATCTGTGATTTTTTTCCTGTGTTTATTGTTAGGTCATGCTTGGATGCTGTGCTTGTGACAGCTGCAGCCATTCCAGCTCAGAATAGGCAATCTCCAGGTCTGCTTTTAATCTTCCCTGATGCAGATTAAATCTAGCATTTACAACCCCTTGTTGCAAGGGGCTGTAAGAGCTGGGAATCCCATGCAGGGATCAGGCTCCCAGGCTCCAGGTGCTGAACAAAAAAGACACAGGTGGGACATTATGCTCTGTGCTTGTGAGCATACAAACCCTACACACAACCCTCAAGCCTTACAGTTGTATAAACCCTACAGGCTTCAAATTCTTCTTAGGAAGAAATTCTTCACTGAGAGGGTGGCCAGGCACGGGAACAGGCTCCCCAGGTCAGTGGTGATGGCACCGAGCCTGCCGGAGTTCAAGAAATGAACACTCTCAGACTCACAGTCTGATTTTTGGGTGGTCCTGTGTGGACCCAGGAGTTGGACTCCATGAACCTTGTGGGTCCCTTCCAACTCGGAATATTCCATGACTGTGAGGGTGGTGAGGCCCTGGCACAGGCTGCCCCGAGGAGCTGTGGGTGCCCCATCCCTGGCAGTGCCCACGACCAGGTTGGATGGGGCTTTGGGCAGCCTGGGCTGGTGGGAGGTGCTGTGCCCATGGCAGGGGTTGGAACGAGATGGGTTTTAAGGTCCTTTCCCACCCAAACCATTCCATGATCCCATGATTCTGTAATTCTTCCCACAGGTCTCTGCATACTGATATCCTTGACAGGATACCTGCTCTACAAGCATCAGGGGTAGGTTTAGATGGATTTCTTGAACCATTGACTCTGCTTTCACAAGTAAAAAGGAGCTCCTTACAGGCAAGTATCTTGTATTTAATGAATATTTTTCCAGCTTATGATCTAGTATTGAGCTGAGATGCCATTTCACACAACAGTTCCCCTTTAAAATGATTTCTAGTTGTTGTGGCTTGATTGAACCTTGAACAAGTTCTGCTTAAAAGCATTTTCACATACATTCTTGCAAATAAAATAAACTTCTAGGACAGAGTTTGCAAAACAGACATGCAGCTTAGACACCTCTAGCCACTACAATGCTGGCCCGCCAAGTAGCAGACAGTAGATTTCTGCACTGTTAACATGCCAGGCTAGATGAGATGACTCCTACCCTACATGTGCTACTGGTAGTTTTTACCTTCATGAGAAGATTCACTTGTTATTTCGGCTCTAGCCAGATGCAAATACGTGGGTCACTGCTGTGGTGACCCAAGGTACCAAGGCAGTCAGATCTTCTCCCTTTTCACCATGTCCATCAGCATTTTTGCAACATATGAGCAACTAATTAATGCCTGCATTTGCTTCCAACATTGCATCTTATCATTTGCTCAAGCTCAGGCTTTATTTCAGCTCTTCAGTCACAGGAGCTTTACGCCTGTATATTCCATGGTGTGACAGCAGCTTTATCAACATGGTATATAAGTACACACTAGGGCAGTCCATTAAACACCCACTCTTTTTTTTAAAAAAGATTATCTATTTAGTTTGTTTTTCAGATGTATCATACACGCATTTAATTATCTGTAGCTTTCTACTACTCTCAGACCAATCTCACGTGGGACTACAGGTAGCAGCTGCTCTCATACAAACACAAATGTGAGGCACATATGTACAGCAATTCTGTGCCCTTGTACATATAAAAGTACATTCTGAATATGAATCCTCGCCTTTTTCAAATATTTTTACATTCTTGCTGGGGTTATGCTGCTCTCAGCTGTGTATCTAAACAGAATTTACTTTCTATTCATTTATGTGTGTGTTAAACACACAATCTGTTTTGGCATCACCACTGCTATCAAAAGGGTTACTTAAAATTAACACTTAGCACACCACCTTCCCCTTGCCCCATAGCTCCAAGTGGTAATGCACTCTCCCCAGCTCCAACCTACACAGCCCTCACACCTTGCTAACACTACGGGTTTGTGTTATCACCCAGATGAAACCCATTGATACACAAGATCAAGAAAATGAGACCACTTCACTGCCATTGTGCCACCACCCCTTGTCCATCCTCCAGCATGTTTTTGGTTTCAGTTGCACCATAAACCTTTTGGGACAGGGGACAGGGTCTAAATGTCCCGACATTTAGATGACGGCTTGTTACAGACCGTGTCATGTTTATCCTTAGAAAAGATGCATTTACTCCCTGCTCTATCATCTGAGCCTGTTACAGCTCATGGTCCCATGCTCAACTCCCCATATTCAGCACACGGCACTCCCAGCCCAACCACAACATGGGCAGACAGAAAACCACCCACCAGTCTTCACTTGCAAGCACAGAGAATGGGAGAAACATCTTATCTCTTGCAGTTCTATAAAGAGAATCTGCAAAAAGGGACCTCTGGAGATCTCTAGTCCAGCCTTCTGCTCAGAGCACAGCTAGTGTCAGTGTTAGAGCAGGTTCTCAAGACACATGCAGCCTTCAAAGTACAAATCACATCAAGCATCCCCTCTTAAAAGATCTTCAGATACAAGGCACTAGAGGGTTGAGTCCTTCCTGCTGCTTCTCATGCAGGCATGAATGCTCCCTGGGAATGACCCTTCCTCTTTAGGAACAGATTTCCCCCCAGTTTGCCTTACCTACAGATTTTGTCCGCGGAATTCCTTTGCGTAGTGAAACGTGGGGCTTCTCAGCTCCCGCAAGGACCCCCGAATGTGCTGCCATACCCTGGCGTTCAAAGAGTGACTGTAGGAGAGAAAAAAAAAAAGAAATTTCCATTCTGGACATCAGTGAGAATCAGCTGAAAGGAAACAATACTACACCTCAGCCCACCTGATGCTCCCAGCTGCAGAGTTCCCAACCACACGTCTGTCTGCACACCAGCCCCTGTCCCTGCAGCTCCACACCCGCACGCAGGTCCCAGGACAGCCTGAGGAGGGACTGCTTCCTCGGGAACAGGCTCTGCCCCCTGCCTCGCTTCTGCCTCCAGCTCTCCCCCTTCGGCGCTTCCCAGGCAGAGTGCCCGGGGCTCGGTGCGGCTGCCCTGGGGGCTGCCCCTCCATGCTCCCGCTGCCAGGCCCTGGTGGCACGCAGCACCCGGGGACATGCAGCACCTCCCTGCCGATGCTGCTCCGGAGCAGCAGCCTTCCTCTGTGGGAAGGCTTCAGGCAGGCCAGTCTCTGCTCAGATCCAGCCCGTCCCATTTTATCTCCTGCTCCAGAAGCTGCCTCCCACCGCCTGCAGCACGCGTTCACAATCCAGATAGCCTGGAGCTCGCATCCCCACTCCTACTCCATCCATGTTTCCCCTCAGAGACTGCCTTTTTCTCTTCTTTGATTCCTCTTAATTTCCAGCTTCACATCCAGAAAACTGCAGCCAGCCTAAGCTCTCCAACGCAGCTCTCCTTGCTCCTGATCTGTTCTGATGTCCCTCCCGCTGCCAATCCCGTATTTGTGCACAAAACGCCCGGGTCAGCTCCTCCACCCCCAGCTGGGCTCCTGCTCTCTGCAGCTCTGTCTCCCCCCAGCCTCTCCCCCTCGGGAAGCCCCCTCCCCAGCGCAGGTCCTTTGCTGTGGGCATCCAGCAGGTGACCGGTGCCTCGTGCCCTTCCCTTGCCCACCACAAGCCCTCCTCTCTCACACTGATTTCTGCTGGCGTGATGCGCCGGCTTGTTGGTCGCTGCTTCACAGTGGCTGCCCTAGAATCTGCTTCGACAATGTCTGCTCTCAGCGAGGGCTCGGCTGCTGCCAAAATCTCATCCAGTTTCTCTGAAAATCCAAACATAGAAGCAAACCAGTTAGCAAGGACCATTGCACCAGGGCAGCTCCCCTAGGACAAGCCCGTCCTCTGCAGCGCAGCTAAGCAGAGCGCGAGCTTCTGCTTAGGGAACATGGTTCGTGGGCCTGCTGAAAACAGTCTGAGGACGTCTGCTCGTCCTCCTCCTCCCCAGAGCCCTGCAGATGAAGACTTTGGTGGCTTTGGAGCAGTACCCCCCTCCCGCTGCACAACCAAGCCCCGACCTCGCTCCACGGGGGACCCGCAGCTGGCGGCTCCGCGCTCCCACCCCGGCTGCAGCGGGCGCCCCTGTGCAGCCCACCCAGAGCCTGGGGTCCGACTTGGCCACGCTCGGCTCTGGGGTCTGCTCCCAGCTGCGCAGAGCTGTGCGGAAGCCTGCATCCTTTGATTAAAGGAGCACATTTTTGCCCAGCAAACTCTTGATATTCAGAATCAGTGATGGTGACGTTTTTGATAATCAGAATGAGATCAAACCCCCCAAACTGGGTTATGGGGTGGGGTGGGGCAAGCAGCTGTGCTACTCCAACAAGGGAAAACCCAGGTGTCCCAGGGAACATAGGCTAGGCGGAAAACCAAAGCAGAGCATGGCACTCCTTGGGACCCCAAGGGAGTCAGCCTGGCTCCAGCTCAACCAGCTCCATTCCATTGTTAGATGGCGACAAACTGGGATGTTTCCTCCCTGGGTGGACTAATTAATGCAGCTGATGGCAGTAACCTGGCCCCATGCACAGCCCATGCTCCTAGGCCCAGGGGCTCCAGTTAAGCTCGGGACCACCCGAGTGGTGCTGCAACATCTGCCTGCAGTGCTGCCACAGCCATGCCATGGCCAGCCCTGGATCCTGACCCACAGACAGACTTCCAGACTTGGGCTGGGCCCTGCCTCATCACCATGGGCCTGCCTGGAGATCTTGGCTACGTCTGACCCTGGTTACCCTCACGGGACCAGACCCTAGATCCTGACCCAGCTCCTGCCTAACCTCAGATCCTCCCCATGGCTGCAAACCCGCAGAGCTGCGTCCTTCTGCACTTCCCACACCACTTGTGCCAGGAGGGACTGATTACCCCCTCAGGCATGGCAGCAGGCCCTGTATGCCACTGGGACTACCTGCCAGGGGTACTAAGATGTCCTGAAACAAAGGACATTGTAAAGGGCAGCAGGCAGACGCTGGCCACCATTACCACTGACCCCTTCTGAGCTTCCTCCACATGCAGCCTGACAGGGTCCAGCAGAGCCGAGCTAACAAAGTTAGCCGGGGTTCCTTCGGGTTTGGGCCACCCCCACTTCTATGGCTGCTGGGGCCTGGCAGGGTTCAGTCTGTCAGCTCCGTGTCACACTGTGCCAGCTCTACCTTTGGAGGACAGCTGGCTCTGAAGTGTGGCCACCACATCGGTGTGGTGCTGTGCTGAGGCTTACGGGTCTGTCTTGGCATCACGAAGACTGGATGACTCTACCCCCATGGCACAGCTAACCCACAGCTCCAGTAAACTGCACGGGGACAGTGGGGGACCATGTGCAGTATTTGTGCCGTAAGGCTGGAGAGCTCTGCCTGAGGTCAGGGAAAGGCTTGCACCCTTCTGGGCTCTGCTGATCCTAGTGACCCAAGTGACCTGGAGAGCTCTGACCATCAGGCCCCTAATCCTACAGACCCCTGCCCGGGGCTGGTGTGACTCACAGGCCAGCCTCAGCACCTCTGCACCCTGTGGTCACAGCAGCTGTCCACCTGTCTCTGTGTGACAGCATTCCCCAGTTATAAAACTAGAAATGAGTGCAGTTGGTGGAGGAGTGAGCCCTGTGCAGACACAGGAGGCAAGTGGTCCTTGCCAAGCAATTTGCATGCCCTCTGACACCAACAGCCTTGGTGGCAGGCACCCATGGCCCTGAGGCCAAGGAGCTCCAAGGGAAGCCGCTCAGGCAGCTCCTGGATTTCCTCGGCACAAAACCTCCGGGCCTTTGCAGCAGCCCCCCTGGTGCAGCCCTGCAGCCCCTCCCTGTCCCTGGGGGATGTCGCAGTTCCTCTCCCTCGGAGCCGTGCAGCTCTCATGGGGCAGTCACCGCACGAGGCTCAGGTGGCCAGGCCTGAGCCACCACCTCCCAGCGGGGCGGTGGGAGCCTGCTCTCCCCGTGCTGCCACACCGTGTGGACCTCCAGCAGCAAAGCCTCAAGGGCCACAGGCTGCTTTTAAAGGACCACATGCTGGGAACATGCCCATGGGTTTCTGGAAGCTGTTCTGGGTAGCCCCGGGGGGATCTCAGTGCTGTGACAGGAATAACAGCAATGCGCAGCCCTCTCCATCTACCTCAGTGGCTGCTTTTATTCTGCTTTTTGTCTTTTAATACCACCAGAGTGCATCCTCGTGTGGCTCCAGGCTGCTGGGGTGGGAGATGTGGCAGTGCTGTAGCTGCCCTGAGGCATGGGGACCCTCCAGGAACGGGGACAGCCAGCTTCCATGCCAGCACAGCCCTGCTGACCTCCTGCATCACCGAGGCATGGGACTTGTGCAGTGCCTCTGCCTCTGAGCGCCGGCAGATCTGCTCCCCAGAGAGGTCAGGGGAGGTCCCTGGGAGACCTCCCACTTGCCAGCCCCCTTCAGCTTCTCTGCTATCTCTGTTAGGGTAGAAGGGCAGATCTCCCACCTTTCTGTAGGTTCAGGCTATCAGGACAGAGTTTGGCTGCCGAAAGGCAAAGAGCTGGGGTCAGGCCTGCAGGCTGCCCGCAGCCCCGTGCTGGGGACACGCGGAGCAGTGGGCTGCCATGGGATGGGCCTTCTCGCTGGGCTCTGTCTTTGTGCTGTCCCTTGTGCACTGTCCCCACGGACACCACGCAGTGCAGCGTTCATCCACGCTCCCGTACCGCAAGCAGCCTCACCCCAGCCAGCTTGGGCACAGAGATCGTGGCCATCGCAGCGGGTGGCCCTCTCCCCAGACCTCCTCCACCCACCTAGCTCCTCTCCAGGTATCTGGGGGATGCCCCCTGAGCTGCCATCACCCCCTGCCCGCAGAGCGGGTCCCCAGGTGCTTCCTGGGCACTGGGAGCAGCAGGACAGCTCGCAGGGAGAGCAGCAGAGGCAGCTCCTGCACAGCACGGCTGCAACCATGGCATCCTGACCCAGGGGCTGAAGGAGGCTGCTCTGGAGGTCCCCAGACGTGGGGACATTCCTGTACAGGGTATTTCCACTGTGGAGTGCACCCAAAGCAAGCGTAACACCCCGAGGAAGCCAGACCTGGACATTCATGGGGCCTGGCTGACAAACATGAATTGCTGTCTGTGCCCAGAGCTCTGCCTGCCTTCAGAATAAGCTTTCCCGTGACTGTCCCTGTGGCAAGGACTGGGGGACTTGCTGGGCACTGACAGGGAAGGGATGAGCCCCAGGATGTGCAGTTTCACTCACCCCCTTTTCTTCTCCGCATGGAGGCTTGGAATCAAGAAACAAAACACAACACATGAATGGCATGCACAGTTCCTGCTTCCATCCCCAGCTCCAGCCTCGCTCTCTGCCTTCTGTGTCTCATCCCCACACTCTTGCCTCCCAGCATGCTGGCAGGATCCGGCCCTGATGGTCCAGCATGTGTCTGTTTGAGGCCGCTCTCGGCGTTACGGCTCAGGCAGTGCATGGCTGCGGGCAGGCGAGAGGTGCAGCACCACATGCACCCCTGGCGCTGCCCTCTGGTGCCATGGAGAAACTGGTGTGAAAGTCATGAATCCCTCCCTGCTCACTGCAAAGAGCCCGCAGCCTACGAGCCTCCCGAGGACAGTTTCCTCCAGATGTTTTAACTGCATCCAACAAAAGCAAGGACTGTGCAGTGCTTTCTTTGTTAGCAGCTTGCTGGAAATCTGCTTTTCTAAGGGGGCTGGCACAACGTGCAGCACCAGGAATTTTAAGGTATCCCTGTGGGCACATGGCATGTATGGCAAGCTGCAGGACAGGGACAGGCTTCAAGGAAGAAGGAGCAGGGCCCATCCAATAAATCTCCCCTGAAGAAGCTGCAGGTGGAAACGTCCTGCTCACTAACACCATCTTCCCCTCAGAAAAGACCAGGCTCTGACCTGCACACGCTGAGGTGCAGGGATGCTGACCTGCATGGAAACGTGCCCTTTGCAGTAAAAGCAGGAGAGGATCAACCACCAGAAGACAAAGTGAGAGAGGAGAAACAACCCCATCTTCCCCATGCCAGGCTCCTTGGAGAGGCATGGTGGGGCTGGCTGCAGCATGCTCCCTGACCCACAGGACATGAAATAGGGACTACCTGCTAAAGCCTCCTGGAAGGCATCGTGGCCAAGTCCAGGCATTGCCTACAGATTCCTCCCGTGGGAGCATGAGGCAGTTGTCACTCCCAGCCCCTCTCCGGGTAGAAGAGAGGCAGCATCTAGATGCACACTGCTCAGGGAGACCCAGAGGTCTCACCTTTAATATGTTCTCTGGCAGAGATATTTCTTTGCTTTTTGTGACTTCCCTTTCCAGGAGCTTGCATCCCTTCCCCTCACACCTGGCAGCTGTGCTCGTCCAAACACATGTGAGTGTGCCCCGTGCCCTCACGCGTGTGCAGGTTGTCCCATGGTGATGTCCCACACCCCACGGGCAGGTGTGTGTGCAGGTGTAAGACAAAGTGCTGTGGTTTGTGTGGCTGTCCCCTTGCCAAGGTGCCTGCGTAAAGCCTGGCTTTGACCCGGGCTGGTGGTCACCATAGGTGGGCCCGTGCAGCTGGGGAACACGTTCTCCCAGAGGCAACAGGATGCCTGTGCAAGATAACACCTATCACACCAGCTAGAAACTGTCTTCAGGACCAGCACCTGGGAGTAAAAATATGAACCCCAGTGCCTGTGCAGTATCTGTGTAAAGGGAAGAACAAAAAGTAGAATAAATGGGCTGTTCTACATCTTTTCCTAATGGCTGCTACTAAACACAGAGCCTTCGAATTTGGAAAGCAAGGAACAGGTTAGGGTGAAAAACAAGGCTGGGGGCTTACCACAAAATCACAATGGCCATCAATCAGTTGATGCAAACCCTTGGATACTAAGATTTCTCTTCAAGCCTATGTTTGAGGGTGAACCCTAACCCTCAAGGTCTCCCTTCTTCAGAACCCTGCAGGCTGTAGAGCCTGGCCATGCGTGTAGCACAGGGAGCAGAGCAGAGTGACGAAGGGAGGCGTTGGGTCTGTGCCCAGGTTTCTGTCTCCCAGCAGGTCTCCTCCCAGCAGGAGAGCAGCCTGCCACGCGCAGCCTCTGTGCCATGGCCAGCGAGCACAGCTGTGCACACCACCACGTCCTCGCATGGCAAAGAGCTCAGCAGAGAGCAGAAGCAGGAGCCAGGGCAGTCAGCAATGCTGAGGAAGGCTCGCTTGGTAGCTTCGCCGGGGCTCTCACCGTGGGCTTGGAGAATGCTCGGCTCGCTCCACGTCTGCCCTGCACAGCCGCTCTCAGCAGTGCCACACACATGTGGACCACAGCTGCGCTCTGAGCTCTCCAAAATGAGGGTGGAGACTGCCCCTGCACCTCTTAGCGCCAGGCAGGACGTGGGATGACCACGACGCAGCCCTTCTGCCAGCCAGCCTGCCTGTCCAGTGCCAGCACCAAACCTCCACCGAGCCCCCTGCCCAGGGCCCTGCGGCCTCTGCCACGCACGGGGATGGGGTGCGGTGAGACGGGCACATGAGCCTGTGTGCAGCAAACAGACTGTGCTTTGGGGGGGCATGAACGCTGACAGCCCTGCAGCCCTGGGATATCGGGGGAGGCCAGGACCTGCAAAGGTGTGGGCTCGGCAGGGATGTCGGTACAAGGGAAGAGCACGGGGCTTCATCACAGGGTACCTGGATGTGGGGACGGAGGGGGCGGGTGGAGGGGCGCTGAGAGAACACAGGAACATGGGGCTGCAAGCTGGGATGCCAAAGCATCTGGAAACGTGGGCAGGCTCTGTAGTGACAGCAGATCGTGTGAGCGTGTGTGCATGTGTGTGTGTAAGGGAGGAGGGCAGCCCAGGGGGATGCCAGCTGATCTTGCAGCATGTGCTATCTGCCTAGAGGTAGAGGAAAATACAAACAATAGGCTGCTTGGTGCACGTGAGGTGCAGGGTGCCCGAAGGACGGGGCACGGGGGAGGTGAGCCTCTCTGCACGCACAGAGGCTCCCAGCGCCCTGTCCCCATCCGTCCACCTGCTGAGGTGGCACCGAGGAGCTGGTCTGGCTCTGTGGGGGTCCTGCGGGCACTTGGCCCCCCGCACCCCGCACAGCACAGCAGGGATGTCGGTACGGGAGGAGCGCGTCGCCGCGAGCTCACGTTCATGCACCCCTCAGGAAAATGGATGCTGTGCGTGCTGCCTGCTCTCGCCCCAGCCCCCGCATGCTCGTCATGCTCCTCCGCATGCAGGCGCGAGCCCCGCGCCGCCGCTTACCCAGCTCCTCCAGCTCGGCTGTCATGGACTTGGACCGCAGCGTCAGGGTGGTGCTGGGCGCTCTCTTGGGAGGCGGCGGAGCTGAAAGGAAGAGAGACGGCATTTTGCATTTCTTGTCCAGGAACTTACGAGGAGTGGCCAGATGCAGGTGCCACTTCTTCTCCACAGCCTGGATCTCCTCGTACTCGCGGGATGAGGAGTCGCACTGCTGCAGAATCTTATTGAGGCTGCGCGTGGAGGCAAACTTCTTCATCGTCTCGGTCGCACGGTCCCGAGGGCTTGGGGCAGGCCCCGGCGCGGAGGGGCTGGAGGCTGCCGCAGGCACGTGCACGCTGCCCAGGCTCCCACAGCCCTCAGCGGAAGAGAGTCCAAGTCATGTCCCCGGGCTGCTCCTGCCCCCCTGCCGCTACCGGAGATGCTACGGCTATGAAAGCCTCTCGCGAATTAAATCTGTCTCAGGCAGCTGGCTGCCTGCCTGCGGGACTCAGCGCACAGCTTTGATGGCTGCTTCCCCTCCGCACACGCCATGGGTGGAGGGGTAGGAGGGAGAAGCAAGTCCAGGAGGCCTGATTCTCAGTCTCTCATCCCCGCCTCGGCGCGGCGCGTCCCCCAGCGAAACGCAGCCCACCCACCCTCGTCTCTGCCGGCTGGGGCCGTATCCAGGACGGGTGAGGCTCCCGCTGCCCTAGCGAAGCTCTGGAGGCGGCCGGCTCCGTGCCGGGCAGCGGCACATGGCCGGCGGGCGCTGTGCTGGGGCGTGGGGCTGCCCGGGGGTCCCTAGCCAGGCCGGCCCGCGGGTGCGCCCCGGAGGCGCTCCATGCCACGAGCCCACCGGCACAGGGACGAGTTGAAGGCTCTTCCTCTTCACTTCGGTGCCTCCTCCTCGCGCTCGCGCTGTGACAATGCTGGCTTCAACGCTCAAGCATTGCCATGGCAACCAGAGCTTCAGGCTGGTGCTGGCGCTGCCTGCATCAGAGACCCCAACAGGGGCGGATTCAGACAGAAAACGCCAGTCCCACACAGGCCTCCATCACCCGCAGGAAAAAATGTCCCCAGCCGGGAGGGACGGGGGGGTTCCATCCCACAGCACCACAGCCGGGCCCTGCTCCATGGCAGCAGTGGGGCTCGGCCCCAGCCCCTGGGCCCCGTGCTGGGGCAGCTCCGAGGGCTGGGATTGGGGCAGCGACCGGTGGCTGCTCTCCAGCTACAGGGCTGGGAGCATGAGAAGCAGCGAGAGGCACCGGTGGTGGTCCCGGCACTGGTTCCCAAGCCTCAGCCTTTCCCACAGCTCATGCTTTTGTGCAGGGACAATGTAATTACAGCACTTGGTGTCAGTGTGCAGAGCTGCCTCCCTCCCCCACGCCCGGTGTGCTGGGCTGGGAGTGCCCCTCTGCTGTCCCTGCTCCCCAAAACCACCACGGCCCCGCAGGCGCCTCCCCACACACAGCCCCATGAAGGTGAGAACAGGGCTGGGCAGGGAGAGCCTGCCCCGTGCCGGCTGCTCCCAGCACGTCCCTGTCCTCCGCAGCTCTATGCCATGATGTGCCCTGCCAGGCACAGCTGGCTGCGTGCTCCAGATGTGCCCCTGCCCTGCTGCTGGCTGCCCCTCTCCTGAGGGCTGCCCTGCCCCAGGAGCACATTAGCAGCGTCCTCCTGCACGGCTGCTCCCCGCCACAGCTCCTCCCGGCACGGCCACGGCGTCTGTGAGCCCACTCATGCCCCGGCAATGCCAGACCCCTGCTCGCGGCACCGCCAAGCTCCGCACTTACCCTTCTTCCGAACAACTTCTTCTGACTCTGGCTTGCGGCTGACGGAAACAACTTTCATCACCAGGTGATTCCCCCCTTGCCGGATGAGCGAGACCACCTGCTTGTGCCCCACCTTCACCACGTTCACACCATTCACCTAAAAAAAAAGAGAAACGCTCCAGTACAGAGACGGCTCCAGAGATGTGCCAGGCCAGCACAAGCAGCAGAAGCTCTGCCTTCTGGTCTCAGCTTTAGTGGCCAGGGTTACCCACCCTTTGTTAAAAAAAAAGCCAGGTTTGCACACTTCTGCATTGACTTTTGAAATGTGCTGTATGTTCTAGGACTGCTATTACTCTGGATACAAGATAATGAATGATGGCAAATAAGACACAAGTGATTTTCTACGGGCAGGGCTATGGCAAAAACAGAAGCACTTGTGTTAATATTTACACTTATATTTATGTTTCCAGAAGTGAACCACTCAAAAGATATGTAATGGCCGTTTAGGTTACCCATAATTTCAAGATCAGAAGCTTTATATCCAGGCTGTTGCTTGCCACAGGCTTCAGGTCTCTACTCAAAGACACCAGGAGATGAAGAATTTAATGTTCCCGAATCCATTCCCTGCATCTTCCAACTGCCACTGCTTACCCCCCAGTTCCTACATTAAACTAGCATGAAATCAAACTTCAGCCGCTGGTTCTCGCGACACCTTTCCTTATTGTGCAGCACCTTCCTCACTACCAGCCTCACCCTCTGGACCTCACCCTCTGTGAACAGAAGTACAACAAATGCAGAACTGTCCTGGATGGAGGAAACTTTGACATTTCAAGAGTATTTCCCTTGCATTTGTTCCAACTCCAGCTGGAGACGTTTCATCTTAAAGTCTAAGGTGTTTTTATTAATACTAATTTGGGTAAATGTTGCTGTTTACATAATTAGAACTATGTAGGTTATTATAGCACTTGTAATTCATGAGCCGTAGTGCGGTCTTCTGTGAAACACCATTAAAAATACAAAAAAGAAAATGCATTGAAGGCAGTTCTGAAATAGAACACCAAGATTTTCTAAGATGCAAAGCTTTTGAAATGCTCATTTTATTTCAATTATTTCTCTTATCCAACTTTCATGAAAATACAGGTTTTCCTCAAATAATAGGATTTTGATGAAATTACCAGCCTACTCGAGTTAAATCACCTCTAAACCTTCTTTTTGGATCAGCTGTATTGAACGGATTGAATTCTGCAGCACGGTTATCCTGTGTTTTCTCCCAATCCTGAACCACTTCAGGAATTATCCCTTGCAAGCAATTTGGATTTTCAAAACACATCTAGACAGCAGACTCTGGGGCTGCATGGCCTCCCCCAGCGCCAGCCCACTTTTTGCCCTGCTTCTTTCATCTCAGGCCCTCATTTGCCCTGCTGTCTGCACCTTCAGAGCCACCAGCCCCTGGCCACTGCCCCTGCCCGCAGCTCTGCCCAGGAGGCAGAGCCACGTGGGGCTGATCCATGCCGGTTCCTCCCCCTGCAGACAGCCCTGCATGCCGCCTGTCCAAACACTTCAGCCCGTGGGTCACCTGTACATTTAATTAGCAGCGACTCCAGGTTCATTTCTAAAATGTTTATGAAAGCACTGAGTAGCATCAGGTCTTGAACTAAATCCTGGCAGAGACCACTAGCAGCACGAGCCAGCGATGATTTCTCACTGACAATTACTTGTCAAGACCTGTCATTTAGCAAATTTGTGAACCACTTAACATGTGCTCCACTGATTTTGTACACCATGGACTTTGTAATGGGAATGTTATACAGTAGTAAACAAAGGCCCCCATAAAAATCTATTACATCTGAGCAGTTATCTTTATCAAACAAATCTGACATCTCAGAGAATGAAATTAAATTTGTTTTATGTGATTTTCTGGTGTTAATTATATTCTACTCTTTAATTCTTTATCAACTGCCTACAGTATCAGCGTGTCCATTTTTGCCAGAAACTGGTACCAGGCTCACAATTCTGTAATCCGATGGATCATCTCCCTTGCCCCTTCTAAGCACCAGTGCTCTGCCAGTCTCCTGGCATTTCCCCAGTATCATAAAATTAAAAAATGCAAAAACTGAAAAATTACCACCTGGAAGATGCTGACAGCTTCACTTACTAATGGTTTGGAAAGTATTTCATCATCTGCATGTGATACAGGCACATCACCCTGCTCCTTTCCAAATAAAGAACAGAAATACTGATAGAACACGCCTGTGCTTTCTGTTTCATTTTTAATCATCCAAACACGTCCACCCAAATGGGCAGCAGTTCAGATTTTTTAGGTTACTCCAATAGAAAGAAGCAGGAGTGGGAAGCTCTGACCTTGTGGGCTGTAAAGGTGATATTGCCACCCTCTTCTCCATCTTGTTGCAGCACTTACGGCAGAAGCCAGAGGACGTGGTCTCCAGGAGAGCATTAACTCCTGTGGCTCCACCTGGCAGAAGCCCCATCTGGTCGGGACCCAAGCATCCATATTCTGTTGGTATTCTGGCAGGCTGCTGAGGTTTTTGCTGACAGTTCAAATGACAGATGGAAAATGTGGATTTTCAATTGTTTATACCTTCCTGAGACCAGGGATGAAAAAAGCTACCAACATGGCCAGACAGCTTTTTGCCCAATGTGTTTCAGAAGTGCCCACAGATGGACAACTCCTAAGCAAGCCGTAAGACACCAATTTGCGTTGTACAGCGCAATTTCATTCCACTGCTGGGCAATCCTTGACTGATGAGCAAAAAAGCAGCATCAGAGAGAGCAACACTGAGCTTACGAAGTACCCTAAGGACCCAGCCATGAAAGACAAGAAAAACATGATGCTGGGCACTAAGCGCTAAGGCTCAGCGCTACACTCGTCCAGGGAAGCTGACCTGACGCTGTGACTCTGAAACATCCTTGGCCAGAAGGACGTCAGCCCGCAGCCACAACCAGGCTGGCCAGAAATATGCCAGAGCCAGGTTAAGTTACAAAATCTGCCAAGGAAAGCTCGATCACTGGGGTGTGAATGTGAATAATTTGGCCTATGGGAAAAAATAACATCTCTGCCGCTGATTAGGAGAGAGGGAACAGCACATTAAAGGTCTTTCAGTGACAACCGCAAAGTATTAGTCACATGTTGCCAGGCCTTTTATGTGAAAGATGGAATAAAACCAGACAGGTCTGCAAAAAACAGGAAGCTGTAGCTAAACCTGACCCGCAGGAAATGACATCCTGCAGAAAGCTGGTAAGAAAAGCAGTCAGGAGGCTAAAATAACACCGGAGGTCAAGGACTGAACACCATGCCACCATACAGCAAAGCCAATCACAGAGGGGACTGGACAGACAACTGCATGCACCATAAATTCAAAACTGCATCGACTCAGTACGGCACGGCAAGCTGCATGTTCTGAGACCACAGAGCCTGGACACCAAGGCTGGTTTTATAACCTATAAGGAGCTGAGGTCTCATTAGCAGTGGGTAAGCCGTGGTTCAGGACACCGCTCAGCAGTGGGAAGGGAGATCTGGCAGCAGGCAGCACCTTCCAGCCTACCTGCAGGCTGCTGGATGGAGCCACACCAGCCAGAGACCTCCGGCGTGAGGCGCCTGGCAGGGAGGAGAGGCTGCGGTTTGCTGCTGGTGCTGATCTGCTGAACCCAGAGAATATCTTAGCCAAGACATCCCCCCGCCTTCCAGCAAGACTGAAACGTCAGAAATGCATTCTCAGGAGCACAATACCATCTCCCACAGGAGGAAGAAAAGTACTTAGACAAAAAGAGGAGGCAGCGAAATGAACAAAGCAAACTGTTTCATCTCTCTGAACAGACCCACTGCACGGAGGATCCCTGTCATGCAGACAGCCCTGGGCTGTCTGACGACGTTCGAGTGACACACGGGAATCGCCTGAGACACACACAAAAATCAGTTTTTGGTCCCAGTCTGTGAAGTGCAGATATTAATTTTCAGGACTGGCAGCTGGGAGTCCTCCCCTTGAATTAAACACTCCAAGCACTCGCTGGCCATCAAACGGGGAGGTGTGTCAGAACGGGAAAGATCAGACACACAGTGGTAGAAACATGACTAGTTTTGATCCATCAGTCGAGAAAAACTTCCCGTTTCTTGGACACAGCTGCCTGATGAGGATGCCCAGCTCTTGGAGATACACTTTTGGCCTGGAAGAAAGCCAAATCAAGAATCAAACCATGCAGAAAGTGGCTACAAAACATCCACGCACAGAAATCTGAGGATGCTATGTCAAAGTCTGTGGCCATTATAAACTGATGCAACTATGTTTTGAGTAGCCAAATGATGCAACAGTGCTGATGAACTCCAGGAGGACTCCCAGGCTGAATGAATGTGCACAAATGGGCCACCATGAAGATAAATGCAAAGTACTGCTTTTAGGGAAGATCCATCGGAACCATGCTACACAATGCTGAACATGGAGCTGGTGGGTACAGCTCCAGAAAGGTTTTGGAGCTGATGATGACAGCTCTCAAAATCATGGGCATGGTGCACAACAGCAGCCAACAAAAAAATATACCACTAACCAACAAAATACATCAGAAAAGAGATGGAAAGAAGGCAGGCAATGCCATTTGGGGCTATGCTGATCCTGCACATGCAAGCCTTCAGAGCTGTGTGTGGGTCTGGATCAGCATCTCAAGGGGGGAGTGGTGGAGCTAGAGAAGGTCCGGGAAGGACAGCTAAAATAGGGATAGAGCAACTGCCCTACGATGAGATGGGACTCTCCAGCTTGGAGAGGAGAAGGCTCAGAGAGGCACATGGCCAAGGCTTACAAAGCCACCCAAGGCAGTGGGTACAGTAAATGCAGATCTGCTCTTCACCAAATGGTGCAGCATTAGAAGGAGAGGGCTCACAATGAAACCAGTGGCAGACCAGATCCAGACAAAGCGAGTCTGTCAACAGACAAAGCAAGCCTTCTGTACACAGCAGGCACTGGTCTTCCAGATTCATGGAATGGGAGGCCATGGAGGTAGACAGTGCTGTCAGATTCAGAAAGAGATTAGATGAAGACCTGGAGAGCAGATCCATGCACAGATACTATCAGGACTGAGCAGGATCGTTCCTGCTCATGTCCCCAGAACAGTGATGTTGGATGCTGGAAGGCACGCGGGAATGGACAA